AAGGTGAGGCACTCCTGGAAGGTTTCGATGCAGTGCTGTGCAGGGGGGTCAAAGGGATCTCCTGTGCGTTTATCTGACGCCGAGGTGTGATGGGAAGGCTGCCGGGTGCTCGCTGGAACTGGCACTTCCACAGAGACCTATGCTGAGCAGAGACATCAATGGAGCGGAGAAGCCAAGATGAGCAGCCATGGCCATGGCACAAAGGCGGAGTTGCTCTCTCAACTGCTCTTCCTCACCCTCCACCGCAGTGATTAGCCTGCCACCGAACGGTAAATCCAGCAGTGAAGATGGGATCTGAGTACCGTATGGGATCTGAGTACCGTCCCATTCCTGGGGTTCGGAATCTGGCGTGTATCCCCAGTCTCCAATGTACTGCAGTCCAGTGAGGTCGCTGGAACTAGCCATTTGCACCAATCACAAGTGTCCGGCTGTGCGTACAGCCTTGAAAGTCTGTGTGCCTCTAGCTGTGTGTGTGTGTGTGTGTCACGAGTGGCTGCATGGAGTTCGCATGAAGAGGTGCGTTGTGGGGCAGCACGGCCTACAGCGAAGGACATCGAAGCCTTTGTGCAAAAGCTTTATTTTTTTGGGACCCCACCACAAAACCGCTTTTTAGACAACGTACAAGCGACACTACAGAGACAGATGGGAGAAGGGGCGCAGGGGTGGAAGGAAAGGAGGGAGAGAGAGAGAGAGAGAGAGAGTGGACGACCTTTTGGAGAAAACGTCGGGGGCCAAGTCCCACTAGCAGCGTTGAGTTTCCTCAACGCCTGAATCTGGACGTGTTCGTGGAGATGTGCGGTTGACTTGGCCCCCGACGTTTTCTCCGAAAATTCTCTCTCTCTCTCTCTCTCTCTCTCTCTCTCTCTCTCTCTCTCTCTCTCTCTCTCTGTGTGTGTGTGTGTGTGTGTGTGACGGATGTAGATATTGTGAACCTGAATGGGAGGTTGTCCACATTCAGGGCACATGAACAGAGTACAGCCGCGGATAGAAACCTATAGAAAGAACATTCCCGTGAATCGCGAAGGAAGCGTCAACAGTCAACAAAAGACGATAACTACAACGGAAACAGGTAAAAATAAAAAAAGTAACAACGAAAAATACACAACYCCCAAAAAAAAAAAAAAAAAAGCGTTGAACTGGCTACAACGCTAAAAAAAAGGCAGCTAGCTCAACGCTAGGAAGCGAGGGTAGGGGGCTTTATATTCGAGTGTTTTGAGTTTCTTCGAGGTTATGTTATAAATTAACAAAACAACAACCGCGTGGCTTTGCAGAGAGAGGAAAACTATGCTTGCAGGGGCAAGGTCCCACTTGCACGGATTAGGAGATCTGGGCCGTTGATCTCGGCTATCTACGGTCTCTATCTCTTGATTCGTGCAAGTGGGACCTAGCCCCAGGGGTCCCCTCTAGATAGTCTTAGGAATAGGTAGTGGAAGGTAAAAGAAACAGAAGTTGAGAGAAGACTATAGAAAAAAAAAAATGTAGAACCTATGGATTCTCCTACGATTTTGAATCTCCGACGTCGCGCTGTGTCCCATGTGATAGAAATCTCAACGTTGCACGTGGGACATGACCCCAGTGCCGACGGTTTGGGTGCAAGTGGGACATGGCCCCAGTGCCGACGGTTTCGGCGCTTTTCCACATAGTGGCAAAATGTTGCGGGCAGGTGGAGGACCAGAATGTATTTGGCAATACCTTTCTCGGCCTTTTGGCTAAGATCACGTGTAAAAAGTGTAGCATCTGTTCTGATCAGTTTAATATCTGATCAGTGGTCCATCGGACCACACACACACACACAAAAAAAAACAAAAACAAAGAATGTATTTGGCAGGATTTTGTTCCATTATGTCAAAACGAAAAAGACGAAAATCTGCCCCATCTTTTCGGGGGCGGGGTACGGGTCCGCCGCTTTCTTTCTTTTTTTTTTTCCTTGTTTTTTTTTCTCTTCTTCTATCTTTTCCGGGTACGGACCGCCGCTTTCACAAAACTGAAGCAGCAAAGCCGCGGCGCTCCAACATATGCTGCCACGTCCAAGGGCCTCCGACGCAAACTCCGTGATGTTGGCCGCGCCCCATGCTTTCGGAAATATGGGCGTCGCTGCACCACTCTTGAAATGCACAAAAGACAAAAATCATGGCCGTGTATCTTTCCATATTCTAGCGGAAGATTCACTCTCGTTTTGCACATTTCGAGAGTAGTGCAGCGAAGCCCTATGTGGGATCTCGTGGCAAGCCCGAAAGTTCCTTCACTACAGATTGTCGTGTCCAGCATATCGCGATACATGGCATTTAAGGCAAGATTCGGCGCCGTCACCGGAGAATAAAAACCCAATACAGTCCGTGAATCACACACCAAGAAAGCCTTTGGGAAATGCATGCGCTGACCCCGAGCATGTGGGAAACACTACGCTTCACCGTCACTTCATCTGTGCAAGTCATGGTCTGCGCCACGCTTGAGTGAGCTGGCGAGGAATGCGTTGCGCCCCTTTTTCCAAGCATGTGGGGGAACACAACGCTTCACCGTCACGTTGTTTGTGCAGGTAATGGCCAGTGCCACCCTTGTGTGAGCGGGCCAGTTCCTACGGCCTTCTCACTCTCTGGTATGTTGTCTGGGCAGCGCCACACTTGTGTAAGCTGGCCAGTTCCCGTGATCTCATCTCTCTCTCTCTCTCTCTCTCTCTCTCTCTCTCACTCAATCTCTTACCCCGTGCAACGAAAAGGGACTCCGTTTATCGAGGCTCAGTTGGTTTCTCGTTCGCTGCTGAGTCAACACATCTGACGGCACGGCACTCATTACATGAAACTAAGCATCTCTCTCTCTCTCTCTCTCTCTCTCTCTCTCTCTCTCTCTCTCTCTCTCTCTCTCTCTCTCTCTCTCTCTCTCTCTCTCAATCTCTTCCCCCGTGCGACGAAAAGGGACTCCGTTTATCGAGGCTCAGTTGGTTTCTCGTTCACTGCTGAGTCAACACATCTGACGGCACGACACTCATTGCATGAAACTAAGCAGCGCGAGTAAAATGAAGGAAAGAGGGAACAAACAAACAGGAGATCGTGGCAAGGCCCACTGCTACAAGTTTGGATTCAGAAAAGCGTGTAATTTACCTGCTAAATTCAAAAAATGGACAACATTGTACTGCTACAAGTTTGGATTCCGAGAAGCTTGTAATTTACGTGCTAAATTCAAAAAACGGACAACAATGTACTGCTACTTCCAGTGAAGTCCGAAGTTTCCAACGACCGTGAATCAAAAACTAGGGAAGAAGCCGGCAATTTCCGAGGTTGTAGACCTACATTCGGTAGAAAATGCGCCACTCCACGTCACCACCGAGCCATATCCGCATCTACTTATCCATCAACCCATCATTCTCCGTAAATCAGTAAACTAATCCATCTACCCAAGCATTCTTGATTTATGCGTGTCATACTTGTGCAGGGGCCATGCCAATCTTCTGTGTATTGTTCCAATCCTTTTAACGGATGTACCGAAGGACATCCACCAACCCATCCATTCATCGATTCATCATTGAACTGACCGGCCGAGGTCCATCAGGATTCGATCTTCGGTCTGCCTTTTCCACAGTTAATGGGTGTACCAACTGAGCTAGGCCCGTTGGTCCATTCAACGATTCCCCTTCCCACTACATCATGAACCTCGGTCAAAGCATTTATCCGTGATGTCGGCGTCAGGCATATATTTGTGCTCTAATGGCGAGGCTCGCCAGGGGTTCCTCGTCCTGGCCTAAATCCATCGATTCCCCTTTCTATCATTTCATCAACTTCGATCAAAGCATTTTTTTGTGACGTCGGCGTCAGGCATACGTTTGGCTATAATGGCGAGGCTCGCCAGAGGTTCCTTGGCATCTTGACAATTACGTCCTGGCCTAAATCCACAGGAGTTTGGTTCAAACCGGGCTTTCCCATTCGGGTTCCGTAACTATTTTAGCTAATGCCTGTTTAGCTCAGCCCGCAAGAAAAGGGAAGTGGTTGCCTCCCGAGGGTTGATCCCTACATCCGCCATCCTACGCACCTGTAATCCCATCCACCAATCCATGTACTCAATCCCCCAGCATATGCCATCCATCCGCCCATCCATCCATCCACACATCCATCTATCCCGACAGGCATATGAATACGTAAATGCACCAATTAACCCTTCCATCCATTTACCCATGGATAAAAAAAATTATCCCACTTACCAAGCCGTCATTCTCACGTGTCGGCAAAAGACCGTTCGATGACTGCGTCGCCGCATTGATGACAGACCTACAGCCACAAATAATCCGAGACCGACATACCCGCAGGAGTGGTTGCCATGCCATGAAAGCTCAACCTGACCGGTATATTTTTTACCGGTAAAAATTCAGAAAGCCGTTTTTTTTCCTGTATTTTTCCCAATCTAGAATTAGCCACTAACAAAACGCACCTTGTCCAGGATATGAACAACCAGCAAAAGGCCCACTAGATGTGAGCAGCTGTGCAGAACAAGGGAAAATAAAATTGCTCCACTACCGTCTTCCCCCGAACACAACGCAACCTCATTTTGGCTGCACCAGACCGAAAAGGTAGCCTGCATACATTAGTTATTACGGTGAATTGTGTCCCAGGTGGACGGTAGTTCCCACCCATAGCACCAGCAGAATAACGGAAGTCACGGCACTGTTCATTTCCGATTTGCAATTCAAACGATGGTGGCTGGCGACAAATACCTAATATATTCGGCCCGCCACTGAATAGAACAAACAGGGAAAAGAGAAGAGAAACTTTTTTCAAGGGAGTCACAGCGGAGCTCGGCTCGGTTGCGAAGACCCGCTCTTATGTTCTGCCCAACTTTGCTCGTCCCTATTCTATGAACCCCCCCTCCTCCCCCCCTCCACCCCACCCCCCCCTTCCACCGCGACAAAGGAATTCGTCGTGAAACCGGTATTAACCGACTTCAGACATGTGTAATAGAGGTTTAAGGACGTAAATAAAGCGTTCGAATCAGGAATAGCAATAACATTAAGAAGAATCCGGATTCAAGAACGATGACAAACAGGAATAATCCTTACTGTACCGTTCAAACACCAAGCCACTCCATAGTAGAACGAATGCAACGCAGTACACGTTCGAACACGAGAAATTTCTCGAGAGATTTCGTGATACTAGCCAGAGGGTTTCTCAACAAAAACGAACCATGCACCATACTAGTACGTACGCAACGAAGTATATATTCAATCAGAAAGCCACCACTTCGTATCATGTACGCAACGGACGAAGAAATTTCGTGATAAATTTCTCCTCCGTTACTACAGGTTTCTCGACCGAGATATATGAAGCATTACGACCCGGAATGGCAGTGACAATAAGAATACTGACGGGTGGTTGGTTTCAATCAATGATGATGTATGTTCAAACGGGGACGCAGTCTAAAGGTTAATAAGCAAGATAGAAAATTTTGTATTTCCCTATTCGTAATAAAATACCCTCTTCACGAACTTGATAAATTTCCAGAAACCAACTCTGTAACTCTTAATACCTGTAAACATGACAACATAGCCTAAGTGGAACTTAGAAGGCATGGCACCCACGCAAGTAAAAACAAGGCATGGACCCCAACCAACCAACTAAGACAATAGAAAAGGGGAGGAAAAAAAAAAAAAAACCTCACGCTTGGTCGGTTTTATAAAAGAGACTTTGAGCACCTTGAACCTGTCTCCGTGCGTTGTAAGCCTACAGTAGTGTCATCAATATGAAAGAATACAGCATGCTGCCATTTACTAACCACTCGTGGGGAGGACATAACGAAGAGACAACATGAAGTCGCTATGCATAGTTTCCAACTTAGGCCGTACTAACTAACACTAGCTCCATCTTTTAAAAAATTATGACCACATTCACAGCCGAACCCGGATGCATCTGACCGCGACTACCTCCATAAACAGGTTAAAAAGTCCGAGTGTGAATACATCCTTGAAAACATAGAAAAATAGCATCATTGCTTATCGCATGCAAATTATATTTCCTTAGCAGAAAATCTTCAAAGGTATAAATACTTCAACTATGTGGAAACCACAACACTGAGTCCCATTGCGGGCACGCTGCACTGATCTATAACTCATCAGCCGAGAGCTCAAGGCAATAAATAGGACAACGCAAAAGGTAATAACCGAGGAAATCCCAACAACAACGGACGTGGATGAATCTGACCACGACTACGTTCATAAACAGGTTAAGAAGTCCGAGTGTTCATCTCTCTCTCTCTCTCTCTCTCTCTCTCTCTCTCTCTCTCTCTCTCTCTCTCTCTCTCTCTCNTCTCTCTCTCTCTCTCTCTCTCTCTCTCTCTCTCTCTCTCTCTCTCTCTCTCTCTCTCTCTGTGTGTGTGTGTGTGTGTGTGTCTGTCTGTCTGTCTCTGCGTCTGTGTGTGTGACTAGCAGGCCAGCCAGCTGGGTCTGGCAAGCAAGAGCCGTCGATTAAATCATTAATCTACCGGCGGACGGGACATAAGCTAGTGAGCGATCAAAACGGAGAGCTTTGACAAGAGAGAGGTGCCTTCCATGCACGCCAGACAAACCTAACGTGCAGAAATGCTTTCACTAAACAAGCGGCAGCGAAAAGAGAGGATGACGAGGCACGAAGAAGCCGAAAACAAGAAACTCAATAAGGTCACCCGCCAGCAGAAATCTCAAGACGGGGGGGCGGTTTCGAAAGTACCTTCCTAACCCCACGAAAAAGGTGAACAAAGAGAATGAGAGCGATCCATACAATGTCATACACAATGACTCGCATTGCCGGCCGTAGTCAAGCGGCCATGGACAATCGCTCGAGATCGCTAAGAGATGTCAACGTCCGAATCGACGGAGAAGCGATAAGTGCGACAGAGGGCGCGAGGCAGTCGGTGAAAGACGAAGAGCGAGCGCGACACACACAACGCCAGCTAGATGAAGTCCTTACTTAGGCTGCGGCCTTGGGCCGCCAATGAAATTTGACGACCTGAAGAAACTAGCCTGCTCGGGCGTCAATACCCTGCTCCACGACACTCGTCCGCTGCGATTGGCGCCAGGACCACGGCAGTTATACTCTGCTGAGAAGCTGGTGGTGGTCCCGCCACGTCCACTGATGACACTCCAACCCGCCGGGGTGATGCAGTCGTCCATCACCACCTCAATGAATACAGTGCGGGCATACATACCCCACGTGCGGCCAAGATACGCTTTGACGCCCGGGTCACAGCGCAATTTCCCACCAACGAACACATAGCCGTTGGTTTCGGACGCGCTCCCGCGCTTCTGCGCAGTGTACGACGCAATCACCGCATTGCCCCGCTTTTTGGCATACAAATCGCAATTCACGAACTGTGCAGTGGCGGCGCCAAAGGCGAAGTCCACAGACCCCTCGATGTAGCAGTTCTGATAGAACTGGCGGCCCTTCTTGGCGTACAGAGTGTCCTGCCACCCTATGAACCTGCAGTTGAAGAAGGAACTATCGGCCTGGACGTTCAGCGCCACAGCTTGGTCGCCTTCCTTGTAATTGGGCCCGTAATCGTTCGTGAAAGTAACGCCGACCGCTTGGAAACCAGCAGCTTGCGAGTGGACAATGAAGGTCGCGGACTTCTCGGTGCTTCCCGCCTGCGCAGCACTCTGCTTGTAAATAATCACCGTCTGGCCAGGGACACCAATCAGAATGATATTACTCTTTCTTAATCGCACCTGCTCTCTGTAAACGCCAGCGGCAATCACGATGCGTGACCCGGGTGTCGCAGCATTGAGGGCGCCGCCAACAGTCATGAAATTGCCACGTCCGTCCTTCGAAACAGTTATTGTTCGCTGTCCATGCACCCCGCTAACAAATGACATCAACACCACAGCGCTACACATGAATCTCAGCACCCAAGCCAGCGAATTGCGATGGCCCGCACATCTCTGGTCCGCCATCGTCACCCACCCTTGCAACCTCTCTCTCTCTCTCTCTCTCTCTCTCTCTCTCTCTCTCTCTCTCTCTCTCTCTCTCTCTGCGTGTCAGTGAAGCTCCTCACTATGTCCTGTGGTCTCCCCCTTCTCCCGCCGTCGTGCCCTCGCTTTCCCGTATGTCGGACTCGCACTAGAATGCTTGCCCGCCCCCGTTCCACGTCCCCTCTAGCGAGCAAGCTTCCGCTATCACTCGCGAGTGAGCATCTTTACCGGAGCGAAGACGGCAAAAAGCTGGAAGAAGCCGGAGAGGCGACCAGCCGACGAAGAAGCAACGGGAGCACGGGGGCAAAATGAAAACACGACCTCTCCCCGCGTTCTGTGTTCGACCATTGATCCATACAATCTACGGCGCAGAATGCAAACACGATCTGGCCCCGAGTCTCGCCTTGACCACACGGGTCTTCCCTCTCCACTGCATGATTTTCTTTTTTTTTCTGAAGAAAAAGAGGGCAACGGCTTCGAGATATCAAAGCCTCCAAAAAAAAAAAATAAAAAAAATAAAAAAAATATCAAAGCCGAGCTGACCGGCCGGTACTTCATTCATCCTAGTTCACGCGGGATTTGAACTCACGTCTGCGTTCCAACTGGTTCCTGGGTGCTCCATCTGGGCTACGGCCCGTTGGTCTATATGATGTTCTCGATCAGTCTGGCTCTGGGAACGCCCGCGCGCTCGTGCCAGTGCCCGAGTGTCAGTCCTTTGACTCGCCCATGCACCCCTTGCTGCATACACGACCAGGAGGCGAGAAATGACCGGGGCAAGGTCCCACTTGCAAGGATTATGAGACATCTGCAGTGGACCCCAGCCTGTGTCTCGCCGGCGCTCCGCATGCCGCACATCAAGAGCAGCGTCTGGTTCTCCCACACCCCGACTCCCACAGGCAAAGAATGGGGAGGTGACGGCGTGGCAGATCATCGTAGATCTGTACATCTCCCACCGAAATGCTCACCCCTCGGCCACTTGCATAGATTTTTATGTCGGATAATTTGCAGAATACCCCCATAAGTCGAGATATGTGCCAAAATGCCCCTGAAAGATGTGGGTAGAGCGGAATGCCCTTTTGGGCCGAAATGTTGGTGTGTGCCCCTGTCAGGTGGGTGTGCAACGTTGCAATCTGGACCTCCCCGTTTGGGCTTTGGCCTTTTACAATAGCGCCTAAGAAAACGTTGGCAAGTACTGGGGCATTTCGCAAAGTTGGATGGTACCCGGTAGGGGTATATTGCAAAGATGGGGGTCCAACGGACGCTTGGGGTATTTCACAAGATACTCTTTTTGCCAGAGGGGCATTCCACTCTACCCACATCTTTTAGGGGCATCATTGGGGTATTTTGCAAATTATCCTTTTTTATTTTTATTTAATTTCCAATCCATTATGCCTACTTCAACCCATTCTATCCGGACCAACTTCCACGCCACAAGTTATTTTGAGGTCCGTCAATGTTTTTTTGTCCGAACTACTATGGGAATGGGTTTGACACTCTAGGACCTTGTTTCGGTACACCAACCACTTCATCTACAGCCCTCCCTCTGCATCAGCAGCGACCATCCAAATTTTACCATCCTACCCTATAACATGATGCAACCATCTACGATCGGTGAGTTCGCAGCATGACATCCTCAGCAGGAGTCTTTCAAAAACGAAACTTACCCTGCCTCGACCACCGCGTCGCCGCCCCTCAACTTGCGGTCCTGTTGCCTTAACCTGTGACAGTAGAAGTCACAAGTGCTTGTCTGGCCACCACAGCTTGCGAAGTGCTTCGAGTTGCACCTTCCAGCGCTTGTCCGCCAACAATGCCGGTTGCGTATGCAAACCTGTGCGCGAACGCCACACCACCGGTTGGATCATACTGAAGTTGTCCTTCCCCTTTCCTGATTTTGGCGAAGGATCGCTCCCTTCGATCGCAGTTGTCGGGGAAGCCGGCCCTGGTATTCAGTTGTTTACCTGCTACTGCTTTCGAAGCAATCGGGTCTCCACTCCAGACCTTCCTTCTCGGCAGTCTACCTACTGGCATCGTCGTTTGTATCCATTTCATCCGTCAGCGGTCTATCAGTCAGTCTTGTTAGTATGCCAGTTTCGATAAGTCTGTCGACTCATCAGTGATACTATGTCCGCACCCAACACTACTGATCGCCAGACATCCGCCCCTTATCATCATTCTGCTTTCCTTCTCATAGCACTCCTTCCTTCCCCCAATCCCACTTTCCCCTGCAATCATAATCTATCTCTCCTTCCTACTAGTACTCACCCCCCACCTTGGATACTCCCCTCAGACCCCTCTTCAATCACTTCCTGCTCTCCTACATCCCACCCAACCTCACTTTCAAGTATGTCTTCCTTATTTCAGATGAGAAGCTTATATGTCAGCTCAAAGAACTCATCACTCCCCTTCCCCGCAACTCCTCCACCCCCCCGCATATCCGTCGACCATAGGATTGAAAAAATCTCCGTTCTTGATCCAAAAACAGTTACACTCCTCCCCCCCCATTTGTACCTTTTTTCCCTTATTATTCCCCAGTCCTTCAATGAGTTGCAAAACAAACAGGTGGAAGATGATATGCCGCAACCCTCACAATAAATTATCTGCTCAATTTCGAGGTCTCCACCTCCCCCCTCACCCTTCAGAACAAGGTGAAAACCTTTTATAGCCTTAAAAAAAATTGTAGTCCGTCTCCTCTTCCACTCGTTTGACTGCTCACTTATGTCCCTCATGTATGTAGGCAGTATCGGTCTGATCACTCTCTCCCCCTAGGAACTCACTCAGGCCAACAAGGGTTTTTTTAGTTGCAGGATCATTTGCGCTCACAATCTTGGGATTCCGTTCTATTGCGTCACCTTGTGCATTGCCTCAACAACACATGAAGGAGGGAAGTTGTGGATCAACAACGGTCTTCTGAGCCTTGGTGAGAATCTCTCAAGTATTACTTTTTCTCCACTCTTCGTATCACACATAGCCTTCTTCTTCAAAGGCTTATTGGGACAACGGGCAAAGGAAAATTGTGATAATTTATGCCTCAAGGAACTTCAAGTTATTTCCTCATGACCTGGACATTGGTTTCATGTCATCTTGGAAAGACCGCGCCACATCGGTCCAAGCTGCATAGCAGAACCAAGAGATCCGGTGAAGGTTTTTCTCCCACATTATACGAGGCTCGTCATCCACTCCAAGAAGAACGAGACTCACATTTTCATCTTCATCGGGCGCACTTCAAGCCGACACGATGGCACCAAAGTGGAAAATCAATATCGCCTTTTCTAGAAGAAGACGCTCTTGAACCTATGATTATGCTTCAACTTCAGATTCTCCTCCATCAACCATGAGGGTTCAACCATTACTTCTCATGGTGCAACCCGCGTAGGTGCAGATACGAAGGGGCTAATCACCTCCGCCAGCGACGCAACCTGCTTTTGACGGACCCGTCGAGATGGCAATCCATCAAGATCAAGACGAACGGTTGAGGGGGAGGAGATGGAGATGGAGTTGGAAGGGACAACGCAGCTCTGATGCGAACTCAACACGCCTGTACTCCAAAAGTGCAGAATGAAGAATGATTTGAAAAATAGACAACAGTTGGGGTATACCCTCAGCGGACTAACTGGACGGGCCTGATACCGACAGTGGTACCAAGCAAGACTGGACTGGAACAGTACACGACCAGTGGGGTCAGGCCACGGCCTGGTCCCACAGGCCGAACTGGCAAATAGTCGAATAGGCCCTGACAGATAGAGTCTCACTGCACGATCCTCATACCTGTAATGGATCGCAAAAGCCATAAACACGCTATCTGCAAAAGCAGCGAAACTCTGCAATAAAGAAAGCTAAGAAATCTAGGATGTGGAACACGCTCCATGCGAAGTCCATGCGATGCAGTCTAAACTACATAATGTCAACTGAAAAGCAAATGTCTGGTATAAACATCCTAACTATCAGCAGAAAATGAAATGTAGCATGATACAATCATAAAGTCTTAAAGGCAATGACCTCAGTGTTGAAAGGGAAAAGAGCAATATGTCACAAGTAATGTCATGTCGCTGAACCACTAAGAGTGGGATGGTCTTAGAGGGGGTGAATGCAGCCTAAGAATGGAAACTCCTAAGGGCAATCACACACGAAGCTGGGATAGATCATCAGGCTCAAGGTGGGAGAGTGGTAGCGAAATAAAACCAATGACCCTAACAGATAGACCATCAAAGCGGGTAATGCTCGACAAAAGGGTGACACCATGCAGGGTCGACCATGAGAAAGGAAGCCTGGAATAGGGTGGAGATATGCCTAACTGAAGGCATGCAAGAGTCTGCACTAGGGTGATGAGGGCAGTGGGTGAGGGAAACATGCACACAACTCGCTGACTGGGGGAGGAGGGAGCTAGATCTGGGATGAGGGAAGCCAAGATAACGCTACGGTCTCAATGCCGATGTGATACCAAGGGAGAGCCCAACTCAAAGAGACCCAACTAAGTGAGAACCATCATGCGACAGATGCAAGAGAATGTACAGGGTAGGGTGGTGGCGTGAAGTAGTCACGTCCAAAGTAGCTGAAGCCGATAAGATGGCAGGAGTCGAAAAGGTCACTGAAGTCGTCGAGGTGGTCGATGACATCGATGAAGTAGGAGTCGAGTCGATGTCGACCAGAGCCGCAAAACATTGATATCTTGAAGAAGTTAATGATGGAGTATCTAAAGGTGTGAGTCAGTAAGGAGATGGTAGGTGATCAGAGTGTCAATCGTCGAGACGCCGAGGGCGCCGACGAGTGCGTTGTGGACGCGCGGAGTCGTCCATCCACTGCTGAAGAACGGCCTCAGAGGGACCGGGCTCGTCCTCAGCGACCTCCTCAGCCGGACGAGGAGGAAGAGGGTCAGTCGGCTGAGTAGGAGCAAATGTCTCAACACGATGAATACAGTCATATGCACGCACCAACATCCGGGCGTGTTGCAAGTGCTCGAGGGGCTCCCAAGTAGCCTCCTCATCATGATAGCCCTTCCAACTCATAAGGTACTCGATGCGTGGAGGGGTATCGTTGGTAACTCGGTGAGATACGATGTCGGAAATGACGAACTTCTTGTGACCGTCCACCATGTGGAAGGCGCTCATAAGGGCGTCATGCGAAGCGCTCGGACGGTCTGTGATAAAGACGCAGCAAGGAGACGTGGTAAACATTGTGTATGTGAGTCTGTCGAAGGTAATCAG